TCTTTCACTTTATTAACACTTGTATTAAATACTATGTAGCAGCTATATATCAGGGGACTGAAAGAACTGGTAAAGGTAATTATTGCCTCAGTCATCTTGGAGAATGGGAAAGGCGCTGCAGGAAGGTAGAAGAACATATGCATTGATTTTACAAAGGTGAGTGGAAATATTCCTTTAGCAAACTACGGAATAGTGATCTTGATTTCTCTTCTTGGCAAAATTCTAGAATATATTTTTAAAAGGATGGTTTGGGATCACTTAGAAAGAAGAGTAGTGATCATTTAAAACCATCCTAGATTCATTAGAAACAGGTTATTCCAGACTAATCCTCCCTCCCTTTTGTGACAGGATAACAAGACTGGTAGACACCTTGAATTCTTTCCACAAATGGGATGATATGGCTGTGCAATATCACATATGCTACCAAACGTGATTAATAGGTTTTGATGAATTTTTTTTCTTCTTTTATATTTATTACAAGGAATGGTTCACTGAGTAGAGGACAGAGCTAGGATATATGTGAAAATGAAAGTTATATAAAGCAAAGAATATCAATAAAATTATTTGAAATAAGACTTGCAGATTATGTAAATGCTATGAAATATACTTAGAAAGCAGCAAAATATCTACTAAATTATTTTGTGCTATCAATCCATTTTAATTCAATAAGCATTGGTTATACACCTGCTATTACCCAAGCACTGTGCTACATTTTGCACACAGTAGGTGCCTAATAAATGTTTATTGATTGATTGAAATGAAGTAGAAAAAATGACAAAAATGAGATAGTTGGTCCTCATTCTAACATGCTGATGAAATAGAAAAGGATATGCTGGGTGACAACACATGAGTGCATTTGAAACAAGTTGAATAACCAACTAGTCAGTGTCAGTTTTGTGGGAGATCTTTACTCAGGGATTTCAGAAATGTATCTTGAAGCTATGTTGTTCACTGCTTTTATCAGAGACTTAGTTGGAGGCATAGGCAGCATAAACTGGAAGGAGTAGTTCCTACTTTGAATTACAGATCAGAATCCCAGGAGACCTGATCAAAAAGAATTCTGAGCTGGTTAATAAGAAGAAATTTAGTAAGGTTAGCTATTGGCCTACTCTTCAGTTCCAAAAGATGAACTTCATAGGATTGGGGGGGAGCTCTAGCTTTTTAGTTTAATTTAAAGTCAATAAGAATGACCAGTGTGACACAGCAATTTTAAAAAAAGCTATCTTTGATTTCATTTAAAAAGGCAGGCTGTCCAGAACAAGGTAGATAACAGGACAGCTATTATATTCTTTGATAAGAAAGAATCTGAAGTACTATGTCAAGCTCAGGCACCTTATTTTAGGAAAAACATATAAGCTAGAGGATATCCAGAAGGGAGCATCCATGATGATAATATGACTGGAGAATATGCTGGAGACAACATAATACAAAGGAAGAAGGGATAGAGTTGGAGTCAATAGAGCTGATTCATGTACTGGCTCTTCAACTTACTCCTTGAGTGTCCTTAAGCAAACTACTTTAACTCTGTGAGCCATAGTTCATCATATGTTGAATGAGGGCATTGGATTGGAAGGCTTCTAGGATCCATTTGAGTTATAAATGTGGGATCTTCTGAGTTTGTGATATATTCCATGATTCAGTTGAAGGAAATAAAAACTTTAGCCTAAAGGAGAGGAGATATGAGAAACAAGATAACAATTTTCAAATTGTTATGAAGTGTTGTCATAGAGAAGAAGGATTAGGCTAGTTCTTGTTCCCCAAAGCCATTGCAGAGTGGCAGGTTCAGGCTTGATGTTGGGTCAAGCTTCATCATGATTAGAGCTATCCAAAAGTACAGAAGGCTGTCATAGAAGGGTAACAGGTTCCCCACCACTAAAGGTCTTCAGGAAGAAGGTGGATGACCACCTGTTGAGGCTGTTGTTGAAGGGATCAGGTATAGCTTTAATTCGATAGCCTCTGATATCACTTCCAGCTCAGATTCTATGGGTCTTTAGGTAGTGCATTATGCTGGATGCTTGGGGAGACACAAACATATATAACATTATTAAACAGTGTTATATAGTGCTTAGAACAAAAGCCATGGGATTTTGTTTTCTACAAGAGTGGTTCTTGGTAAGAGAGGTAAGTCATGTAAACCTCCATTTATATCATTCATTGAATACATTTCTAACTTTTCTGTTTGTCGTTCCTTTCCCAGCACCACCACAACCCAGTCATTCACCAAGCCATATACGTTCTTCCTTTATTTGCTGCTTCCTTACTTCATTTATACAGCAGTTGCCCTAGGCCAGGGCCTGACTACCTCATGTCTGCATATCATGTAGTAATTAACTTTTTTGCTGGTTTCCCTATCTCTAGCCTACCTCAGCCTCTCCCACTTCCCACCCTTATCAAAACCATGCACCTCCATCAACTGAATCTTCATAAATCACACCTTTGGATATGTCACTACTCAAACCCCTTTATACCTTAGTTTCTCTGTTGCCTGTTGGATAAAGTCCAAACATCACATCATTTAACACCCAGCACAATGTCACTTCAACCTACCTTTCTAACCTTATCTTCAACTATTCCTTCACATGAAGTATCTCTTCCAGTCATATAGGTCTATTCACTTTATATTGAGTGTATTGTGTGAATTCTGACATCCGTGTCTTCTGTTTAAACATTTTGCATGCCTAGAATTCCCTTTCTCCTTTTCTCAATGTACATCATGTACTACCTATCTTTCATAGCCCTTTTGAGTCTCGCCTCCTCCCTCTAGCTTTCTGTAAAAGCCCTATTCTGCAGTGACTTCTCCCTTTTATGAACTCCTGTGACACCTAAAGTCTCTACCACTGTGTTGATATTTACCAGATGCTGATTTACACTTTTAATTGTTCTGGAAGGCAAGAACTATACCTTATACCTCTTTGTTTACCTGGTGTGGTTCCTTATGTACACAAAGCAAAGAATTAAGAAAGTTTTTTTTTTCTTTTCTATTTCATTAAATGATTATCAGTGGAAGCTTCTTAGGGGAAAGAACTTGAAGAAATCTTAAAGATTTCATGATTTCTGACCCCCTGTGGTACATATGAGTAAATTGAGATTTGCAGTTATTGAGTAAGTTGTGCTGGTTTCCACAACTTGATCAAATAGCAGAGTTGGAACCCAAACCCAAAGCTTTTGACTCTTAGGCCTGGCTTTTTCTACTGCACCTTACTATTTATCTCCTGAATAAAAGATGTATTTTTATTGTCAAAAAATATTAATGACAAGTCAAGTCTTACAGTTCCTCTACAGTCAGGAACTTGGACTGAGCTAGGATTTACACAAGAAAAATCCTGGAGCTACCATGGCTTCAGAAAGTATTTGGGTTTCTGTTATAAGGAGGAGTTCTATTTTTGCATTTCCTCTAAAAGGCGGGCCAAGGAGTATAGCTATGGCCTTACCTCCTGGGAGGATCTTGAATGAAGTATGAAAATGGGTTGTATTCCACGCCCCCGCCAACCCATCTCCCAGTGATAGCCAGTCCTAGGGTTTTCTCCAACACAACTCAAATGTACCTACCCCAAAGTCTCCAAAGACTACCTCACTCCCAGTTGTCTCTCTTTCTTGCAAACTCCCAACCTTCCCCATATTGAATCTGGAGAAGTTTTGCCCTTCAGAATACCCAGGTATCCATAGTAGGAGTTGTTCGGGTATCATTGAGAAAATTCTATCACCAGCCCTCCCTCTAGATCACCTCTAGATCTGTGGCAGGCTTCCTGGAAGGGTGGACTCTATGCTTCTGGGCAGTGACCAGTAAGATCCTTGTCACCTCCTTTTTAAATTTTGGGCAGAACAGAATAAGCCACATGGGAGGATCCGGAATGGATAAATTGTGATCTGTATCACATATTCTCTTCGGCAGATCACATATTATCTTTTCCCCAAACCCATACCTCTTTGAAACTTTCCTATGACTACCAAGGATACCACTGTCCTTCTAGTCACCTATATTCCCACAATCTCAGTTTTGTCTTTGATTCTTCGATTTTCCCTCACTCCACGTATGAATTCAGATACCAAATCTTATCTTTTCTACTTTCATGTCTCATGTGTTTCATGTCTCATGTCTCAACCTACATAGCCACCAAGTTCAGACCTTCATCACTTTTCAACTCAACTGTAGCCAAATAATTGGTCTCCCTAACTCAAGTGTCTCATGTCTCTTTTTTCCAATCCATTGTCCATGCATTCTCCAAAGTGATTTTCCTAAAGTACAGATCTGACTGGGCCCGACAACAACAACAGCAACAACAACAACAGCAGATCTATGTCCCACCCCTATTCCATAAACCTGTTTCCCTCTTGATTTTGACTGTAGGATCAAATACTATTCATCTTTAGCTCATCTTTTTAAGTCTCTATTTTTGTGTCTTATATTATACATGTACACATATGTATGCATGTACAATTACATAATTAAAAATAATTATTTTGAGTGTGCATATGTTTTAACTGATAGGGTTGTGTAATCAAAGAAATTTGGAGAACAATTGACCTAAGTGACTTCGTAGAATTTCAGAATCTGTCCAAGGGGGTAATTTTTGCCCTTCCTTAAATTCCATTTGGGAGCTAGTACCAGCTTCAGAAGAACCTTCTAGAGATATGTTCAATATATTATAAGTAGACCTGGCCAATTAGAAAAATAATTCACCCTAAAAACACATAATTGAAAAGCTTTTATTGTAAAGTTTGTCCATAAAAATCTATGGGCCTTAGTAATCCATTATATAAAGCTTTTAAAATATGAGTGACAACAAGTAATGCAAAATGCTGTAACAATTGCACCCATCTTACATGTGAGAGAAAGTGAATTAGTTCTATGTGTTTTGATAAATGAATCAGAATTTTTTTTTAAACTCCAGTATCTTCGTGGCACTGAAAGCAATATTAAACTACTAAATTTTCTCTTTGGTATAATTTCTATGTCTTCTGTTTGATATTAACTTAGTTTCTTTCCTCTTAAATTATAGCTCCTCCACAGTTTGTGGTTAGGCCAAGAGATCAGATTGTAGCTCAAGGTCGAACAGTTACATTTCCCTGTGAAACTAAAGGAAATCCTCAGCCAGCTGTTTTTTGGCAGAAAGAAGGCAGCCAGGTAAGTATAAGGTTTGAATGCTTCTTTGAAACCTCTGAACTCTAACCTCTGGTGCTCTTCAAAGTTAGTTAGGTCCTTTCTTTTTCTTTCATTGTGAATTCATTTCATATTTAAAATATTATAGGAGAAAATACATATAATTTGAAAAAATGGTGTTCTGATATAACACTCTTCATCTAACAGATATTATTGAGCACAATGTAGGCATTGTGTTAAGTTTATGAATTGTGTGTAGCTTCTACATGTTAATTTTTAAGAGCTGGAGTTATTCCAAATAAAAGGAAATCATGTAAGTCATAGAAAGTAAACTGTGTATTCATTCAAACCAAAGAAACCACCATCTTTGAGTAAGTTTCTTTTTTTTTGTTTTCAAACATGTGAGAGACCATTTTACCAGAGTTTGAAAAAAACCAGCTTGAGCCCTTATTTACACTTTGAAGTAGTAAATATAGCATCATTCTTTATTAAGTATAAGTTCTATCCAAGTGAAAATTATTTTTCTACCTCACATTGAGTACTAATAACAAGAATAAATAATGGAACACTATCATATGCCAAAAGGTCCCAAGTCCCTTGTCTTTCTTATTTATTGTTTCCCTACCTGTTTAATCCAGATTTTACTCCTAGAGAGTTTATTACCCCAGACTTCTAGACATCATGTTCTTGCACAGCCTCTAATACAAATGGCATAGTTGCTTAGGGATGTCAGAATTTCAGCTCATTTAAATCTTGGGTTGCACTTGGAATTCCACAGAATTTCTCAGATCCTTGGGGATCTCAAAATTCTGGGACTACATGAGGGAAAGTGTTTTAGTTTGGAATTCCTCAAATCTAGCCCAGGGAAGTTTAGAATTTTATCCTTCCTTGTCTCCCCTCCTCTACCAGCGTTCTTCTGAGTATCAATAGACCCCCATGGAAGAAATTATGGTGGACATTTTGAAGCCATTTATGGCCTCAGAGTTTGAGGTGTTGGTTAAGAGTAAACCCTCCTAAAAAGGGATCATGAAATTAAAAATATCTCCCTGATTTACAATGGCCCATAGAGTAGTGACAGTTGTTTTTCCTCAACCATCCCTCATTATGCAGTAATTAACCTACATCAATATAACCCCCTCCTCCATCTTTGGTCAAAATTTAGTTTCACCCAGATGTTTTAATCCTTGGATTCATGGAGAAACCCTGCTCTCATTTCATTTACACAGTTCTTCCTTATGATTCTATTTCCCCCTCCTCTTTTCTCTAGTCAAATCCAAATAGTTACCAGTGTCTTGACTATAGTCACATGTCTTGCCAAACATGGACTAGGGAGAAAATGAAAGAACAGCCATTAAACTACTGGTAAATTAGTATCAGATCTGTATGTCCTTTGACCTTTGAACCAGATCTTTCCTAGGCCTAAATCTTTCCACACTTTAGCTTGTTTAATCCCTTATCTCCCCACACTTTGTAATTAGAAGATGCCTAAGCCTTGTTCTCTTTGCTATGCCCATGTGGAATTGTGTTTTAGAAATTTATATCAAGTCAGTCTCCTTTCATCCTCTGACAAAACAAATTTGCAATTTAAGGAAAATTTAGCTGCGATATTTGTTTATAATTTGCACATTTAGCATTAAGAAGGTATGTAACTATTTGACTTCCTCATAGTTTTGACTTTTAGCCTCGTTTGCGTTCTTTTCCTATTCTTTCCTTCACCACATACATATGTACAGCTCACTCATAGGAAAGAAGTGTTTGGCAAAGTTTAATAGTATCAATTCACAAATTGTGAAGCTATTAAAAAAAAGATCTCACTGTCTATGATATACAATTTTTATAATGACATATGGCCACACATCAAAACAAATGGTAAGATCATGAATTTGGTGGCCTATAATCCCATTCACATATGCTGCTAATGCTACCTATCATTAATAGGCTCCCAGGAACTTTCAGGTAAAAAAAGGCCCTCAGATCCTGTGTTTTTGTTGTTGTTGTTGTTTTCCTGTAATCCACTTTTGCTAATGTCATAGTAGCGCATAATAAGAATGATGGGTTAGCTTGAATCATACGTGATTTTCCATATCAACTAATCTATTGGGTAAATTGATATGATATTGTAGAAAGGGGCATCTCAGAGAGTATCCAGCTCATGTGATATATTAGTATTACATAAATTAGTATTCTAACATCTAATTGAATGAAAATGCATGCTTTGAATTATTGCATCATTTTCAAGTGGCTTTAGGTTCCAATCTTTGATATCGGTTTAGTTCAGCAGCATATTTAGAGTCTATAGAATAATTATTTTCTTCTAAAAATGTCAGCCTTTTAAAGTAACAAAATTTGCCTAGGAGGGAAATAATGTTTTCAGTTTTAACAAGTGGAACTTATGTGTTAGCAACCATCACTTCTTTTAGAAGGCTTTTAATAATATGGTAATGTTTATGTAAAGTGGGCTTATAGTGACACACTTGAATCTAATAAAGTGGACATTCATCATGTTGTAATAGAGAGTAAAGCTTCTAATTAAAGTAGGACATCATTTGCTGGATTAAAGTCATTTAGCGTAATTGAAAAGTGCTAATACCCTATTTTATCCTCTTCTATTGGTCTTACTTCAAGGGTAAAAACATTTTAAGGTGAAAATGTGTCTTGTGTCTTTAACTGAATGTTATTACCTCCTGATTGTACTGTTTTGGAGCTGTTTAATTACAAACCTGGAAAAAGAATTACTATATTAAGAAACTAATCCCAGAGGGTTAGAATGTTCTTTTTTATGAGTAAATACAACATAAAAATTGATATACTTTTATTCATAATACAACCTAGAAATGTGCTTCAATATGATTAGAAACAAATATTTTCTTTATTTGAGCTATAGTAAAGTAACACTGGCTAACCAGGTTAATATTACTTTCCTAATAAAAGAACTTCTGAAGCTTTGTAATGATAATCTGCCCATTTAAGGTTAAGGTGGTATATAGTTCCCTCTTCATTTTATTCTACTCTTTCCCAACATCTGTTACTGAAGCCCTGTTCTTACTTCCACTAAATGAAAATCAAGGTTTCAATATTATGGGTTTCTTTAACCTTAACATACATATTCTCAGACTTTTTAATATCTAAGATATATTCATCATGTAATTTTAATTATATGCCATTGTTGACTTATACTATCACTGTTACTGTGCTATTATTTGCTTTAAACATTCATACTTAATTTTGAATTAAGCCTTAATACTTTTCTTCTGTCTTGAGGCAGCTAGGTGCTATAATGGATATAGAATGCCAAACATGGAATCAGGAAGACCTGACTTCAAATTTTGCGTCAGTCACACTCACTACACTTGCTACTTATTCATTTGGCAAATCACTTAAGCTCTTTCATCCTGAATTTAATCATCTGTAAATGTGAATGATATTAGCACTCACTTCATGAGCTTTTGTGAGCAGCAAAAGAGATCATTTGTGTAAGGTGTTCTGAAAACCTTGAAGTCCTAAATAAAAAGTCATTAACATTGCTTTTATTATTATTATTATTATTTTATTTATTTAGCATTGTTAGATCATAAAAGGAAATTTTGCTAGTTTTCACGTGCTATCTTATTATTAGAAGCTCTGGAAACCTTTACAAAACTTTGAGTCATCAAAAATTCCACACCATTCACACTACTTTTTATGGATTCACTTCATTCTATTTAAAATACAGGATTTTTTCTTCTTTGTTACTCTTCTCCCAAGCAGATTAATCTGTTCTTCCTATTTGAGGGTGAAAAAAATTTGATGCAATTTTATTTGCTTCCACAGAACCTGCTTTTCCCAAACCAGCCTCTACAACCCAGCAGCAGATGTTCAGTGTCACCAACTGGGGATCTTACTATTACAAACATTCAGAGGTCTGATGCAGGCTACTATATTTGTCAGGCCTTAACTGTCGCAGGAAGTATTTTAGCAAAGGCCCAGCTGGAAGTTACTGATGGTGAGCACCTTTATTTGATTCCCTTTATATGATTAGTGATTGTTTTCTAGAAATTAGATTATAAATGTGTTGGTTTTTTGCTGATCAAATAATCTATACAAGCTACTATTTATTTTAAAAATTCTGTTATAATGAAAAATTGTTTGAATAGTATCCAAGTGTTATTAACACTGTTTCTTCTCCCAATGGAAAAAAAAATTAATCCAAAAAGCTAAACAAATAAATAAATAAAGGGGAGGGTTATTTTTAGAATATAATAGATGACCCTTAGGAAATGACATAAAAGTTTCCACTATTGAGATTTGACCTTTATAATTAGCTTCATTTAATGCTTTTGCTACATGCATACATTAATTATGAACATAATGCCACTTGCATTCACAATAAAATTCGAAAAGATATTGAATACTGAATAATCTGATTTTTCCCAAGAAAATATCTACCGTAGTTAGTAGAGAAATTCATACACATAGTGAAAAAGTTTGAGCATAAATGTAATGATTGTACTTTGTTTCCTTAATGATGTCCATATCTTTATAACAAGGAGAGATAATTCTACCTTCTCAAATTTTTTATAAGCCCTGTTTTCCTACACTGGCTGCTGAAATCAGTCTCTGGTCTGTGACCTTTCTGCATTTCCTCTCTCTCTCTTTCTGACAAAATGATGCATTTTCATACAATTTGAATTTACATGTAGATTAAAAGGTCATTTAGAATTAATAGAAAGCAGTATTTTTAGTAGCTGTCCATGGTGCTGCCTGATTCAATGCTGTGTCTGTGATTGGAATAAGTAGAACAGGCAAACATTGGCTGAGAGGACATTGAGATGTAAATGGTTGCACCTGCTGATGTTTGAGAGATTTACTGCTGTAGAGCCAAAAGGAGAAGTCAGGTTCAAGGATAACTGTGATGAGACATTCTTCCTTTAGTCAGTCAAGGTTTTTTGGTCTACTGTACGTTTTTAATTTTTTTATAGGATGAAAAGCTAATTATTAATCTTTTGAGGTTCCTGTCTTTTTCTGTAATCGGTCAGCAAAAATGCTCAGATACGTGTACATGGAAAACAAATCTAACTGGAGATAATTACATGCAGGAACTTTCTTTTTGTCTTCATAATATCCTACATGCAAAGCGAAATACTGTAATAGTCTAGCTATACATACTATTTTTTTTAAATAAAAAAGACAGACTAAATTAATGAAACAAAAACAAAGGCTCAGAATAGTTAACTAGCATTGGAAAAATGCAAACAGAATTTAAAATAGGAAAATAGCTTAAGAAGGGAAATATAGATTCATGTGACTTATACAGCTTGTGGAACAGGTGATTTTTCATTATTATGCTGAAAGGAATGAATGTGGAATGCTTAATTTATTTTAAAAATGTCATTCTGACTTTAAGTCATCACTCTATGGAACTATAAGTCTCATTTTAGGTTTGTTTCCTACATTGAAAAGGATAAAGCAATAAAAATGACCCTAAGTGGTATAGGTTTATGATTGAGATGATTCAATACATTTAGGTGCCACTGGATTAGATATTAATTCTTACATTGATTTTTACTTAAGAAAGCAATCAGAGTGTCAAAGATCCTTTGGCCATCAACACTGAGTAGATATTATGAAAGTTATTGATTTGGAAAGTAGAGAAATCTAATTTCAAGATTTTAGAAATAATATGATACATAATTTCACATACTAATGTAAAATTTCATTTAAAATTATAGAGCAAAATTTTTTCACTTTGATTAATAATTTAATGAGTAGGCCACAGTTTTTATTTTAACACTTTTTTTATAATTAAGATCCAATTGACCTTAAGATATAAAATGTAAACCATGCCAACTGGTTAATTATGCCATCTATATCACTGCTTTTGTTATTACATTTTTACATTTGCAGTTCTTTTCTAGAAGTATATCTAATTTAAGAGTTCATATGAGAAGAGACTACTATAATAGAATTAGTATGATAAAATATGCTGAGTTGAGTGATAATTTTGCTGATATTATATTGATATATTCCCTAAAAAGACTTCCATATGAATTCATTTGTACTGATGTGTGCATATGTGTGTTTTAGCAGGAAAGGGAAGCCTAGAATTATGCATTTTTAAATAGTGACTAATGTTCTGAGGACATTGAAGAAACTTAACCATATTGTATATTGATAATGAATTTCAGAATATAAAATGTAATAATAAATTATTGAGAAGCTATAACATATAGTGAATACCATAGATTTATTCACCGATCACTGGAAACCTAAAGTGTTCATTTAACCTTTGACTTTAGTGTCATGGAAACCTGTAGTAGTATTTCACCCATAACATTGCTGAAACTGAAAATTCCTTCTGGCCAGGAGATTTTCAATTACTTTATTGATCATTCTGTTTTAAAGTGCTATGACATGTCCATTTGGACAGAGGGGGAAAAACTGATTAGATGCCCTTTGACTAAATCTAAGGAATTCATGCATCTTAAAATAAAAGGCATGTTGCCACAAAATATTTGTATTTGTTTTTATTCCAAGGTATCCCCAAATGTGATAAATATTGTATAAGTGGAATTAAACTTGTGAACCTAAAATATAAGTCACTTTTCCCAGTAACTGTAAAGTGATTACCTTTGGGCAAATATTCTCCTTAGTTTGTACAAAATGATATATATAACAAAATGGATTCTACTAAGCTTTCATATTAGTGTTCTGAAATCTAACCATTATTCCTCAAGGGTCTTTTCTTCTTATATAATCTTTCTTTAAAATTTAGTGCAGTTTTAATTTTTCTGAATGTTATTTTTTTCTGCTTAAATTAATAGCTTTGTCATAACAACAATGAAAAAGAATTGTCATACTGATCAAGTTCTGTGAAATTTATCTAACAGTATGTGTTTTTATGATCAATATCACAATAGAAAAATCTCAAATTAGTTAGAACCCCAAGGTTGCCAATAGATCGAGAACGAAAGATCTAGTGTTTACATTCCTTTCTTTTGCTGATTTTGATCACGGTTCCTGAATTTAAAATTAAATTTCAAAATATTCTTGTAGCTAGCTTAAAAAAAAGATTACTATATTTTCAAGTCCATTTCTAAAACTATGTTCTTGAGTAATAAGAATGACACATTCAGGTTAGGAGTTGCAATAGTGCATAAGCTGGTGGCAATCCCAGTTTGAAATTAAAAAAAAAAATAAAGAGACCAGGAGTGTAATTAGAATCATTATCATAATATATAATACAAAAATAACTTCTTAGAGGCAAACCCTATGACTAGATGAGAAGATTGAGGATAATTATAATGGAAAAATTGCCTTCTTTGGGTGTCTTTTTAGAAAGAGTAGAAGAATGCTACTTTAAATCTAACTGTAGTCTCTTTCTTTGGAAGAAAGTCTTGCTCTCTGAGAAACATATTGCTAATGATTCATGCCCAATTAATATTCCCACTTAATTATTAATAGGCACCCCAAGACTAAGGTTTGAAAAACTCATGAGAATTGCTTTGATACTTTGATGTTTATGTGATTTCATCAATGTATGTAGTCACTCTCCAGATGGAGATCAACCTCCTTCTTCATCTTCTCATTTTGTACAATCCTTGTCCGTGTTTTCCCACTTATCCTCAGGGAACCTACACAAATCTATAGCTAACTTTGTATTGTGCTTTTAGCTTCATTTCCCCAGTCTAGTCCACGCTGATCTCCTTCTACTCAATTTTGAGTTGAGTGTCATTATGCATCAATAGTTCCACATTTATTGCAAATGTAGTATTATAATTTCATCCCTAGTGCTATGTAGAAAGTTTCCAACATTTTCTATGCTTTTAATAAATGTGTCCTGAAAAAGAAAAGGTGCTTTTAAGTATTTTCATGTTTCTACTTTTCAATTAGGAATATTATTTCAATTAATAGTAAAAATGGCTATTATATTTCAATTATTATATAACTATAAGTACTTTAAAGTGGAATAAATGTTTAATGTACCTTTATTGCCTAAATTTAATATATAGCAAAATAATTCTGCATTGGATTTATATCAGTGCTGTTCTATATTATGACTACAAGTAAAGATAAGCTCTTTTAATGATAATTTTGTCTCAAAATGACAACTAACAACCAGATAAAAGTAATTTTATTAAAACAAGCTTCTTTGGACTGTATTAGGCTAAATAATCATATATTTAGAAATATTCTGTTTGAGGGAAGAAATATTAACTTTGGGGGTTTATTTTTGTTTAGGATGGTGTATAGCCATTTTTAAATGTGTCTGAGAAACAAGGTAATTTTTCTTGAATACCCCAAACTGTAACTACAGGAAAATCAAATATTTTGTTTATACAATGCTTAGAAAATGAGCTGAGAACATTTAGTAGATTCCAGTGTTTTCAGTGTTCCTAAGTTGCTGAGCACAGAAAAAGTCCGAATTTATGGACTCGGGCCCTGTTATTCTTCCAATGACGTCACATAACTGTGAATCGTGGAACTACACTCAGAAGAATTAAAATTACAAGTAACTAAGCAGCAATGAAACGTAACTAGATTGAAACATATTACCAATGTGATTGGTGCTAGAGAAGTGGCATAAAAGATATTAAGGATATCTATGATTACAAAAGGAGATGAATCATTCATTAAAGACAACATAGGGGCCAATCATGAGAAACAACAGAAAACCCAAATAGTACATTGGCATATCTGAGATAGTGAAAACATCAGAGAAAAGCTTCTCCTGTGCTAGGTGAATTATCTCTTTAACATTTATGGAGAAGGGCAGCTAGGTGGAACAGTAGGTAGAGCACCAGCCCTGCAGTCAGCAGGACTTGAGTTCAAATCCGGCCTCAGACACGTAACACTCACCAGCTGTGTGACTCTGGGCAAGTCGATTAACCCCAATTGCCTCATGAAAAAACGATATTATGGAGCAGGTAAGAATATCAAGGTTTTAAAAGGCTGGAGGAGTTGAGATGTGCAACAGTCAAACGTGTAATCTGTCTTATTAAATGGGAAACATTAAACACAGTGGCAGACATCCCTATCTCAAATTAAGGAGGATATGGTAGGAGATGATTCAACTGCATGTTATCAACAATTGTAAAAGGAAAGTAAGTGAAAGTGGAAAAGAAAATATTTTCCTTTAAGTAGTTTTGAAATAAAATCAATAGTTTATAAGTAACTTCTAAAAACAGTTCACATTGTCATTTCAGTATCAACAAGTCATTGTCTTTCTATATAATTATGAACACGGTAAATTATTATCTTAACTATTAAGGTCAAATAACTGGCTATTTTATAAGTTCAGTAGATTTGCTTTTTTAAAATCTCAACTTATAGATTGGATGACCTTATAAGAATGTACATTAAGTAAAATATCCTGAAATCTTCTTTGTCATTTAGTTTTGACAGATAGGCCTCCACCTATAATTCTACAAGGCCCGGCCAACCAGACATTAGCAGTAGATGGTACAGCCCTGCTGAAATGTAAAACCACGGGTGATCCTCTTCCTGTTATTAGCTGGTTAAAGGAAGGATTCACTTTTCTGGGTAGAGATCCAAGAACATCTTTACAAGAACAAGGAACGCTGCAGATTAAGAATTTACGTGTAAGTCATTTTCTTGATATAGCCAGATTCTTCAAAACTACATATTTAAATGATATTTTGTGCATTAATGTTTACTATTCATGCTAAAATTAATAATGTTAGTTTTTCACTTTATGAACAATTCATTTATATCTATACAAGATTTCTATACATCTTACTTATACATCATAAAATTACTAATTTTACAAATAAAGAACTAAAGTTCTTTAAAAAAAAAAGATTTACAGGGGGCAGCTAGGTGGCGCAGTGGATAAAGCACCAGCCCTGAAGTCAGGAGGACCTGAGTTCAAATCCTGCCTCAGACCAAACACTTGACATGTACTAGCTGTGTGACCTTGGGCAAGTCACTTAACCCCAATTGCCTCACTAAAAAAAAAAAACCCAAAAAATAAAAAATTTAAAAAAAAGATTTACAACTTCAGAATCAATAAGAACTTGGAAATGTCTGGTGTGTTTCATTGACTCTAAAAAGCTATTGTATGTAGATTAAGCTAAAAAATGTGCGTGTTGAGGAATAATGGGAGATGAGCTTAGATGTACAGATTTTGTGTTTAGAGAAGTTTCTAGAAGACCACAAGGAGAGGCTGAGAAATTTAAATCAGAACCAGTAGGCAAGATGAAGTTATAATCCTTTAATAGAAGAATGAAACAATGAAAAGGATGTTTTTGAAAATATTATACTGTAATACATGTGTTAAGTAGTCAGAAGTGGAGAGACCAAATGAAGACAGTCATTTAGTATTAGGTGATGCGAATCTGAATTTTAGGGGCTGGTTGTCGAAGAGCTGAAGAAAGGGTGAGTCTAAAAGACGTTAAGTAGGAATGATCCTTAAAACTTTGTGATTGTAAATGAAGACAAAGGAAATAGAATAATCAAAATCAGTCAAGTTATTGAATATGGAGAACCAAGAGGATAGTGATATCAGTTGATTATACAGAGGAAGTACAGGAAAGAGTCAGTATAGGGGTATATTAATATTTCAATGTGCTAAGCTATACAAGAGTTAATATCTCATTGACAGCTAGAGATGCAGGACTATAGAAATGGGAAGAGGTCAGACCTGGAAACCGTGCAATTTCTTGTATTTGTTTCATGAAATAACATTTTCATTTGTAAATATTTTATACATTCATAATTTGGACTGTTTATTTGGTAGATTTTTGTAAAGTAAGTGTATATTAGTTACATGTGTCAGAACCTAAATTTTTATTTTTTACTTCTAGTATATTTGCTTATATTCTGAAAGAGTGCTTCAAGATTAACGACAGCTCTGAAATGATTTTATATGTTCTACTTTTATATGATTCAAGTTTATTTTAGAGAAAACAGAATAAAACAGGGTTGTTCCTTGAATAATAGTAATGTGATAGTGCGGCTCAAAGAAAACAAATTTATAACATTTTTCTTTCATTGTCTCATCACTGATCATAAATTGTTAACCTTCTTTCAATGAAATGGAATTTATTAAAAAATTAATGCTAGCTCTACTTGAGCAAACAATTTAGCCTTTCTCTCTGGGCTAAAGGCAGGTTTGGGCCATGAAGGTTAATGCATTTTTCCTGTACAGCTGGATTAAAGGGTGCGCTTGGATAGTCAAGATCCCCAGTAGTGTTGGAAAGCAGCAATTAAAGGTGGGAGCTTGATGATCTCAAACAAACCTTCCGCACATTGACAGATTTCTGAGTAGTCTCTCTGAGACACAAGCTCTTAGGGGCTTCTCTGCAGCCAACTCTGCAAACATAAGAGTAGGTGATGGAGTGTGCCAGCACATTAATCTCTTTGTTTAAAGCACCTGGCCCATACACATGTAAAAATGAAAGGGCAGAAGGAAAAAAATGTGAAGTACTGGTGACCATCAAAGACAAAGACATTATTTAGAATTAAAATAAACAGGAAAAATGAAACTAAATTAAGGTGCGGGTGATGATGACGTAAAAATGAGCTATGAAAATACAAGAAGCATTTATAGTATTTTTCTCTGGGAAAACTCAAAATGGAAAAAGTATTTCTCTTTCTTCAAAGATCAACTTTAAAGACATTTATGTTTTACTCACACAAGTTACTATAGATAGTCCTCTTTATGTTTCAATTTTTCTTTTATTTTTTATAATGGTTTATTAGTACAAAAAACATCTGTGACAGACCAACTGGAGGATGAAGCATTGTTTTCTTTCTATTAGTCAATTGATATCCGAATGAGTGACTTGTTTTTGAAAACTAAAATAGATCCCATTTAAAGCAACAACAGGTTCAGGTGGCTAATTTCAGGTGGTCTTCCCTTCCCTTCTCTTTCCTCCCCTCCCCTCCCCTCCCCTTACCTTCCTTTCTTTTCTCTTTTCTTCTCTTCTATTCCCTTCCCTTCCTTTCCTTTTGATTCCCTTCCTTTCTCTTCCCTTGCACCTCACCACAATAATAAGGACATTCAATATTACCTAAGCATTCCTCTTATTTCATAGCATTTGCACTTATTAAAAGTTATATGTTTCTCAACAGCTATGATAAAATGCAAACTGTTTTGCTTATTATGACAATAATATTTGTAGAAGAGGACTAGTTTTTTTGTTTGTGTTGTGTTGTGTTTTTTTTTGCTTTGGATGGTATTGTTTTACAGCTTTGTATGCAATCTTCATAACCTATTAAAAACGAAAAACTACTCTTTAAATTCAGCTTGTGAACAATGCTTCCAATAGTCTTCTGTTTCTAATGACTATAGTGCTTGAAGAGCTACAGTTGAAAAAAAAAAGGATTGTGATACAGTAATTCCCCTATCATTCTTTTAATACTATGAAGAAGAAACAATAAGGTGAATTTTCATTTAGAAAAGATATCATATTTCTGTGATGCAATGTATATAACACTGTGTACCTTCATTACTGTGTTTGAGTAGTTTTCATTCTTTTCACAGCACCATTTTTGTTATGAAATAAAATATTTCTGGAATAAATTACATTAATGATATGATGAAATTCATGTCATTTATTGACTCTTTCTCAAATAAGAATATTGCAAGCAAGGATATAATATGGTAAAGAACATTGTGGCAGTCCAATTTAAACACAAGTTAAGAATGCATGAAAGTAAAAACAAATTAAAATGAACATTGTAAAAACCCTCATAAAAACCAAATACTCAAGGATTTACCTGAGAATTGATCCTAGAACCTTCAGCCTTGACACACTTACTATATGAATAAATTATAAACAATATTCCATAGACTCCAGTATTTCATCTTGAATTACTGTCAATCCATTAAAATATTTTTCCTGGGGCAGCTAGGTGGCACAGTGGATAGAGCACTGGTCCTGGAGTCAGGAGGACCTGAGTTCAAATCCAGCCTCAGACACATAACACTCACTAGCTGTGTGACTCTCAGCAAGTCACTTAACCCCAATTGCCCTTACACACACACACACACACACACACACACACACACACACACACACACACACACCACAAACCAAAAAAACCTGACTCCTCTTGGAATTTGGAATTTCAGTGTTCAGCCTGTTCAGGAATTTAATTTTCAGTAGTGGTTATCTTTGTACCACCCTGGTTTTGGTAGAGTATTTGGATTGATATTTGAATTTTAATGGAAATCAAAAGGAGAGATGACTGTAGTATGCTTTTTCCCAAATATTCAAGCAAGTCAAATACCCACTCATTTCAAAACATTAATATTTTAATATAACATAGATTCATTATTTCAAAGAGGTTATATCCATCAATAAAACTATCTGAAACAATTCTAGAAAGAGAAGATGTATACTATATACCAGTTCTCTACCATGTATAGATAGTTATTATTTTATATACATTTAGTGTCTTTTACCACTTTAAGAGATTTGAAATAAGAGTTTTTCTAACTCCCAGTTTGACACTGTATGGTCTGTATGGTATGACTGTGCTCAATAACTTTATACTTTAACAAAATATAGTTGTGTGGATAACTTTTCATTTTGAAATGACGCATAACCAAGAAACATACAAATTAAGTACATACCATGAGATATGTATTGAGATTTACATTCATTTTAAACCTCTCTTTGTTTTATTTTGCCATTCAGTCATTTTTCAGTCATATCTGACTCTCTGTGACACCGTTTGGGATTTTCTTTGCAAGAATACTGGAATGATTTGCTGTTTCCTTCTTTGCCCTTTGCTTTATTAAAAGCCTTTTATAAAGGCTTCTCTAGGAAAAGCAATTTTTTAGGTTTTTAGATTATTCATTTTTATTATGAACTAACTTTGTAGTTGTTTTACTTGATTTGGAATACATTCACTATTACTAATAGTGTACTGCATCAAGCCACAATGCTTTCTTATTTAGTTTCTGCTATTACCATTGGCCCTTGGAACTTTTGATTACCTATCCCCGCCAACAATAGCCAATAGAGATAGGATTTAATATATCCAGGTAAATTATAGCACTGTTGGGAGAGGAGAGAGCTGCATCTGTCTAGCCCCAGTTATTTTCTCCATACTTCTTTTGGTTCAAACCTTGGAGACTGTATATGTTGCTGCACTGAAGTTTTTGAAATACAGTATTAGAGAATTTAAAAAGCAAATTAGGAATTTTAAGAAATACTTTTCTTTGATCCCAGTGTATTCATTGGTGACTTAATCACAAAATCTTTTTCCTCTTTTTTGTTATTGTTCAGTTCCAGTCATGTCCTATTCTTTGTGACCCCCACACTGGGACTTTCAGTCTTGCACTATCTCCTGAAGTTTGTCCAACCTCATGTTCATTGCTTCCATGACACTATCTTTCCATCTCATCCTCTGCCACCCCATTCTCCTTTTGCCTTCAATAATAAATATCTCACACTGCTTCCATGGCACAGTCAATTGAGAGAGATAACATGCAAACAACTGCGTAAAAAATGTAGACAAGGAAAACTGGAAATAGTTTTAGAGGGAAGGCACTAAGATTTAGGAGAACTGGGTAAGGTTTCTTATAGAAGATGGGATTTTATCTGATAATTAAAGGAAGCAAAGAGGCAGAAATGAGGAGGAAGAGAGAGAGTTCTAGGCATAGAAAACAATAAGTAAAAATGTCCGGTGTTGGGAGATATAGTATTGAATAGACATTGAATTGAGGAGTACATGGGGTAAGGAAAGTGAAAGAAAACTGGAAAAGCAGGAAGAGGCCAGGTTTTGAAGAGCTTTAGAAGTCAAGCAAAGGATTTTACATTTGTTCCTGGAATTAATTGGAAACCTCTAGAGTTTATTGAATAAGAGTGGAATGTCATGATTAGCCTGCATTTTAGGAAGAACATTTGAACAACTGAGTGGAGTGGAGAGACACTTGAGGCAGAGAGACCAACCAGAAAGTTATTATAAAAGCATCAGTGTGGTGGCTGTATGAAGAGAAGGAGACACAAATGAGTGATGTTATTAAAGTTGAAATGACAAGACTTGGAAACAGATTAGCTATATGGGCATGGATATGAGAAAGGAGTCACATATGACATCCAGAATTTGAGCCTAGATGGCTGGGAGGATCATAATGATCTCAAGTAGTAGCAGGCAAGTGAGGAAGAGAAGAGGGTTTGGAGTAAAAGAAAGTGAGGCCTGCTTTGGACATGTTGAGTCAGAGATTCTTAAAGGATATCCAATTTAAAATGTGTAAGAGGCCATTGGTGATGCAAGACTGTAGCCCAGGAGAGAGGTTAGAGTAAGCTACATAGGTCTGAAAATTAGATACATAGAGCCCGTAGGATCTAAGATCATTAAGCAAGATAAGAGGAAGAAGAAGAACTAGGATGGAGCCTTGGGAGACATCTGGCATTAGTGGGTATGACTGGGATGAAGATCTTGGTCTCCTTTGAGACCAAGAAAGAACCGTCAGACAGGTAGGAGGAAAATTAGGAGGAGACAATGTCATAAAACCTAGACAGGAGAGAATATTCAAAAGAAAAGGGTAGCTAACAATGTGAAAGATAGTGGAGAGGTCAAGGAAGATGAGGATTGAGAAAAGACCATTAAATTTGCCCATTAAAAGATCATTGGTGACTTTGGAGAGGGTGATTTCATCAAATGATGAGGTCAAAAACCAGAATGCACAGGGTTTAAAACTGATAGAGGAGAGGAAGTAGAGGCAGTGATTGTAAATAATGTTTGTCAATATTTCTCAAATTAATCAAGTTAATCAATGGGTTTAGATAAGAAGATGATTAGAAATACAGAATGACAGCTAGCAGGGACGGCAGGACAAAGTGATTGTTTCTTTTTATTTTTTTTAAATGAGGGAGATGTGGGTATTTTTGTAAGTAACATAGAAGAGGTTAGTAGATAAAAGACTAAGAGAGAATGGAGATAATAAAGGGAACAGTATGCTGCAGAATATGAGTAGGAATTGAATCGGGGATGCATGTAGAGACATTACTTCCTGAAAAATAATGGAGAAGAAATATTAGGGGAAGATGAGGAAGGAAGAAGAAAAATGTCTCATCCAATAACCTCAATTTTTCTATGAAGTATAAGTCAAGGTTTTCAGCTGAGAGGGTGGAGGGAGAAATAGATCTAGGAGGCCTGAGGAAGAATGAAGAGGTTTTGAATATTAGTTATCTAATGTAAGGGCAGAAGCCAGAGAGGAGAAAAATACTGTCAGCATGGTAGTGAAAATTATATCACTAGCACAGTGCCTGGCACGTAGTAGTTACTTTTTTTTTTTTCAGCTGAGGTTGCTGAGTAGTGGTGGTGATGGTAGGGAGTCTGATAGTAGCAGTGAATTCTAACTGCCCTGACCTCAACCAGCCAGTTAAAGATATAAATGAAAGTTAACTAGTACTAGAAAGGTCAGCCTGTTTTACAGTGTCTCATTAAGCTCCAGAAGATGGAAGAAGTAAGAAAAGAAACAATATGAGATAAAGGAAATTATTAAATTATTGAGCAGGAATTCCAAAAGCACGGTGGAGAAAGTAGTTAGATCTGTATTGAGAAATTTGAAGGTAGGAGTAATTTTGAGGAGTTTGGGAGTGAGGGATCATGCAGTTGGGGATAATCAAATTTATACTTGACCAGCCAATGATTCAGAATCAATGAGATAAAGAGAGTACAATGGGATGAGAGTGTGCTGAACATTGAGGAATGAGTCCAGACAAATATTAGTGGCTTGAGAAAGATCCTTTTAAGAGAGCTAAGTTCAAGGCCCTCCCTCAAGGTCCACCCTATGTCCGAAAAGATTCAGAAGGCCTATCTCAAGTAGGCAGGATCAGCCAACAATATGACCTGAAGAAGTACAATCAAGAGACAAGAACTGGCAGTTTAATTTGAGACAGGTTCAGAAAAGATTTCCAGACAGCTGGAGGAATCTCTGGAGCAAACAGACCTGAGATGAGTAGCCTGGATTCAGGCTGACACATTCAGGCTTGGAGAGAGGCAGAGGCCACAGTTATATGGCATGGGTCTAGAGATAGAGTTTAAATTCTTAAGAGAACTAGTGGTTTTTCAAGCAAAAAAAATTTACTCCTCTTCCCCCACCTAACTTCTTTACTTCATTCTTCACACATTTCCATGTGTTTAGAGAAAAGTGAAAGTAAGAAATAACAAAAAGAAAAAGAAATGGTATATCTACTTGTTTATTGCTTATGTGCCCAAGTCTATCTCATAGTCTCTCAATTATAATTTGTTTGAGACATATAATTTCATTTGCAGGCTTATTGAAATAATTTCTCGTATCAGCTCATGTTCCTGAGTATTCTGAGAAAATATTATTCTGAATTTTTTAATGTGACACTATGAATTCTCTATGCATATTGATATTAGGAGAGGAGGATAATAGCTATGTATAGTGAGAAAGAACAAAGAAAAGAAATACAGAGATAGTTAAAGATATAGGCAGATAGACATACAGGTAAAGACAGAATTATTACATAAGTAGAGATTGTTATGTTATAGCATAACAGACTATGTGGTGGGGTAAGGTGAATCATTATGTGGTTTTGCCATATTATTTAAAAAATCAATTGCAGAAATATTATGGAAACAAACTTTAAAATTTCATAACTGAAAAATTATTTGTACTTCTTTTATCATATTGTTTACCTTATAACAGGCTGTCAAACATTTTTTTTTATTTAAGGAATTAAAGATTACCTCAATTGAAATGTAATATTTATCTGGAAAAGTTGCTTTGAAATATTTTGTACTACCCTTTTTTTGCATTGTAGGTTTCTGATACTGGCACTTACACATGTGTGGCTACAAGTTCAAGTGGAGAGACATCATGGAGTGCTGTGTTAGATGTAACTGGTGAGTTCCTAGTGAATGCCTTGAGAGTAGCAGGCTCAAATTTTTTGAAGCATAAAAATATGCCTGATTAATTAACTTCAATTAAATAGAGCCTCCACTAAAGTACTAATCTAATGTTCCAAGAACTTGAAGGTTGTTAGGGTTCTGCCAAGCTATATCTGAGCTCTAACAGCTCTTGCGACTACATAAGACCAGGTGCAGATTGTGATTTGTTGTCTAACTTCCACCCTATTTATATGTAGAAAGCCTAATCATCAGAAGGCTTGCCTCAATGTGATCATATTTTAGAAGGAAGGGAGCAGAGGGGGATTGGCAGTAACTTCTGAAATTGTTAAAAATACAAATTGTCTCTATGAGAAAGCATAGAGAGGTCATGGTCTGTGATTATGAAAGGAGTACCAAAAGTGTTGTATCAAAGATCTAAGTATTAACAAAGAAGAAATCAGTAGTAAGTATTATAAGGACATTTAGGCCAAAGATCATATCATATCTCTTTTCTGTATTGCCACAGTTCCCATCACAATGTCTGCCAATGTGATTAATCAGGACCTACCTGTAGCCATTTGAAAGATAACACTTATGTCAACAAACATTTATTGATCATGACTGTCTGTAGCACACTGTCTTAGGCACTGGACGATGCCAAGTTATTTTTTTTTAAGTCCAAAAGTTGTAGATCTAAAACTAATCTAAGGTGTAAGTGTGAGATGATCCAAGAGAGCCAGTAGGTAATACCTCGTAGTCTGAAATGCTACAGGGAAGTCATCCCAGGAGGGATGGGAGATGCTTAAGAAATTCTGAAAACAGAATGGCAAGCAATTCCAATGGGTAGGGAAAATGAGATTTTATGAAGTAAGTGAAATGGATACAAAGAGGACACAACAACCAATTAAGATTTTAAAAAGAAATGTACTGAAGGTAGAAGAAAAGAGGTAACTAAAAAAAGTGATAAGAGTATGACATGGTCATGTAGAAATAGTGTCAGGAGTGCTCAAGTTCAGAATGAGCTGAATTTGACAAGGAGATCCAAAAACAACAAAAAGGGATATTTGGGGGGGAAATGGATAGGACCTTTATTGGAGTGGGTGTGACAATGATAACTGACAAAAGCGAGATTGCAGAGCTGCTTAATTCTTGACTTTTTTTTCTGTTCTCTTTGCCAAGGAGAATCACCTTTGCGCTGGAAATCATGTAACAAAACAATGAGTAATAGGGAGTTGATACCCAGAATAAGTAAGGAGATATTAAGACAGAACCTTGTTGCTCTTGACTAGTTCAGATCTGTTGGTCCTGAGAAGCATCTTCTAGTCCTAAAAGGACAGGCAGATTTGACTTCTGAAACCCTGTATCTGATATGACACTATTACATTTGAAAGAGTATGGAAAATGGTAATAATAGTAAAAAAAAAAAGAAAGAAATATCCAAATTAAAAAAAAAACTAACAGCCTTTAAAATATAATGTAGTTGGCTTGACTTTAATTCCCGGGGAAATTCTAGAATGGATCATTAAATAAATAGCTATTAAAATTTTGTAATAGGGAATGTAAATTAGAAAGAGCCATCATAACTGTCAATAACAGATCATGCTAGAGTAAGTTCATTTCCTACTTGACAGGATTAGTTAACTAGTAAATGATGGAATGCTGTGGGTATAGTTTACCTGGATTTTTGCAAAGTTTTTTTTTTTAAAAGAAAGTACTGTTCTTGTGGAGAAGACAAAAAGATGTGGACTAGATGGTTACAATATTATTGTGTTCAAAACAGATTGTATGGCCAGATTCAAGGAGTACTATGGCTGTTAATGACTCAATGTCAGGATGATATGTTTCCAGTGAAGTACCCCAGGAATCTGTGCTTGGCCCTATACCATTTAAAATGTTAATCAATGACTTGTATTAAGGCACAGATATTATGCTTATAAAATTTACAGATAATCCAAAGCTATGAGAGATAGCTATCATGTTAGATGACAGAATCAATATTAGAAAAAGATCCCAGCAGTGCAGAGCATTGTGCTGAATCTAATAAAATTCAAAAGGGATAAAAGCAAAGTGTTTCACTTAAACAAAAGCTCAACCTCACCAAGCTTGCTTTCTCTGTGCTTATGTAGGTACAATTATATAGTGACCTGAAAAAAAAAGATATGACATTTTAGTAAATTATAAGCTTAATATGAATAAACAATATATTGTGTAAGTCAAAAAAAAAACAAAAATAAAACAAAACAACTAAAGCCATAATGGGCAATATCAGAAGAAGTATAGCAGTAAAGAGGTGATAGTTCTGCTGTACTCTGTCCTCATCAAACCTCTTCTGAAGGATTTTTCTCAATTCTTGGCACCAGAGTGTAAGTCTAAGAGGAACACTGATAAGTTGGCAAGGAGGGAATCCATCATGATGATGAACTTTTTTAACTTATTTAGACCAGTCCAAGGATAAAAGATATACAATACATGATCAAGCTCACACTAGAGGCCTTTCTGCCTTGGTTGGAACTATAGGACCTAGTTCTAGGATGACATGAGCTCCTCAAAAGAAGAAAAGGACCAATATTTACAAAACTATTTATTAGAAGTTCTTTTAGTGGTGACTAAGGCAGTGCCCTTCAGCTGTGGAATGTCTGAACAAATTCAGGGCAATGAACAAATTCTTTCAGAGAAACCAAGGAAGATTTGTATGAACTGATGCAAAGTAAAATGAGTAGAACCAAGAGAATGATTGATACAATATTCAGTATACATTGAGTCCATATCCTATGAGGATCAGTTGAAAAAACAATGTATATTTAGCCTTCAAAAGAGATTTAAAGGAGACGTGATAGTGATTTTTAATTATTTTAAGGACTGCCATGTAGAAGAGGAATTAGACTTAATTTTGGTTCCAGAGAATAGAACCAGGAGCAAAGATAACAATTCAGTTTTGTTGTCAAGAAAAAACTTCCTAACAGTTAGAATTGTCCAAAAGTTGGAATTTGCTGCTTCTAGAGGTGGCAGCTCCTCTCTTCTGGAAAGTTTTCACAGAGTCTTAACACCTACTTGGTAGGTATGATATAATGGGGCTACCTTTCCCATATGAATTGGAATAAGTAGCCATTAAGGGTCTTTCCATTTCTCAAATTCTGTGATTTTACACAACAAAAAAACATTTCTACAATTAAAAGGAAAGAATCGGAAGTGGGAAAAATGCTTGCAGCCAATAGGCCAGATAAATGTTTGAAATCAAGGCTACAAATAAGTCTCAGTGTTACTTTTAATATTTCACTCAGTGATAACATTAATAGTTCATTGTCCCCCCCAAAAAAAATTTTTTTTAAAATGACCTCTCTGTTCTATTTGTAATAGTACGAACAAAAACCACAACCAATATGTCTAACTAGTGTTATGATATACTAGTGGAAAAGTCAAATATGGAATTTACAAGGAAATAAGGAAACGTCTACATGAGACAGCATAACTGCATCTGAAAAAGAAAGAAAGGAAGGAGAGAGAGAGAGAGAGAAAGAGAGAAAGAAAGAAAAAGAAAGAGAAATGTGCCAAAAGTGGCAGGCAAAAGATAGGAAAACACATACATGCACACACACATTTCTGTTTATTCCTTTCTTGATAAGGGTTTTGCAAATTAAAAGAACTACAACTTGTATGTAATTGCTTGCTTCTGTTAATAGCTATTACATTTATTATCTTTAAGCATGTTATCCCTACCCTCTATGAACTTATACTCTAATGGGGGTGAGTGAGTGGATATGACTCAAATAATTTTAATATGAAAAAGAAAATAGGAGGAAGGATAGCATGGAACATGGAGAGAGCCTTTGCCCTGGAGCCTGAGGACCTGGATTAAAATACCGTCTCTCATTTTTACTACTCTTACCTCAATGGCCTCATCTGTAAAATGGCAGGTGTAGGGTAGATGTCCTCTGAGGTACCATCCAACTCTAGATCTATGATCTTATCATCCTAAGAGTATGATGAGAAGTACTGAGTTCAGAAGAAGAAAAGATCATTCCCCACTTCAGTGAACAGGACATGCCTCATGGAGGAGCTAACGTTTGAGCAAAGGTCACCAAAGTCAAGCTGAGGTTGTGGTGTGAGCAAAGGCATGGAAGTAGAAATGCATGGAACATATGTAAGGGGTAGCGGATAATACAAATTGACTACTGTGCAAAATGCATTTTAGGGCAAGGGTAAAGACAAAGTGACATAAACAAGGTATAAGAGTGGGGAGGGTAAATTGATATCGTTAACAATAATATCTAATAAGCAAGGAAAGTTAACTATTTTATATTTGACCCCCTACAGAATCTGGAGCAACAATCAGTAAAAATTATGATTTAAATGATCTGCCTGGATCACCATCCAAACCTCAGGTCACTGATGTCAGTAAGAACAGTGTCACCTTGTCCTGGCAACCAGGCAGCCCTGGAAGCCTACCAGCTAATGCATATATCATTGAGGCCTTTAGGTATGTGAACAATTTTACTTCTTAATGTCTTTCTTTTTTTAACTTTTAAGTGCTAAGAATTGTAGTATATATTCTTAGAGTACAATAGAGTCATAATGGTGATGTTATATGGAAAATGACAACTTAACCAACTTATGTAGGAACCTTATTTCTGATGATTTAGAAGTCAAAGATGAGACTTTGTTCTTGTTTCCATTAACAAACTGTTTATAAATTGGAAATTAAAATTAGTATTTGCCTGTGTCTTCAGGTTTGCAAGGATATAGTTGAAGGCCCATAAACACAACTGGTCCTTTCTTCTTTATCTTGATCTTTATAGATTAATATGTCATTAGAGCCGGTTAATTGGGAGAGAATAGCTAAAGCTCAGGCACTTTCCAGTTTAGATAGATAGATAGATATACACACGTATATGCATATATGTGTATGTATATGTAGTGTATATATATATATATATATATATATATATATATATGAACAGATTATAGTGAAATCTTTTCTTAATAAGTAGATAGTAAACTGAAATAATTAAAATATTTGAAATGTATATATTCAAAAGTGTTTTTGTAGAATGCCTGAGAGAAAATTTAAAAACCATAGTTAGGTTATATATGCTTTGGGGGAACTGAATTAATGTTTATATTCTATATCTGCATATAGAGTGAGAGATAAGTATATGTATAAACACAAATATGTATTGATTTGATTGTCTTCTAAGACAAACTAGAAAATAAATTAAATTCTTATTTTCTTATCTCAATATGTTTATTTTATGTGATTATGAAATATAAAAGACAAGCTGAATAAACCTAGAATTTTATCAATTTTATAAATATTAACTTTGTTTTTCTATTTCCTTTATTTGCTTTTCTTTAGCAACAGATAGTTAAAGTGCTTTTGAAAATAGCAATTGCTTTTTGATAATTTTACTATTGTGCTGCTCCACTTCTTCTGAAAAATAAACACTTGGAAGCTATTTTTTTTAATCACATTCTTTCCTCATCCTTAATAGAAGAAGCTTTTAACCTTAGATAAAGTGTAAAAATGACTCTGTGACTATTGTGGGATGGCTCTTTGCTCTTAAATTTTAAACTATTTCATCATTCAGAGAGATCACAATATACTGTGAAATGTACAATTTTATTAAGAATGTAAGCATAGAAAGCAATATTTACTCCACGCTCCCTTTCTTCTTTTACAGATGTGTAGTTTTAGAAGGCTCTGTTGTAATGTTGCATGTGGATTTGATGCAAAGAGAACACATCTTGTAACAGGAAAATGTGTTGGCATAATTTACTCTGTAGTCCATTTATTCTTTCTACAGGTTAATTCTTTCCAAGGTATATATGTATATATATATATATATATATAATACACACATATATTTGCATATATTTAAGAGGATCATATTTCTTGTTCAGATTTGATGTTGTGATTCTTGGTCCCCACGCCCCCTTTCCTTTTACAGGTGTTCATTTAGTGGCTGCAGTGCATTTAGCAAAGGCTGTCCCATCTCTTGGGCTGAGTTTAATTTTTTTGTGCATGGCACTTTTGTTAGGTGGGCTCTGCTTTGTTGTGGAATTATCTGAATTCATCAGACTGTTTCATTTACTGAGCTGAAAACTCCAAGTGTTTCGTGTTTTATTATTTATCCCATTTCATTTTAATTTCCAATCATTAAACTTTGTCATTGGAATCCAACCCCATTCTTCGTGCCCTTTTTTCCCCATGCTTGAATTGTAAGTCTTAAATCTCATTTCAGCCAATCAGTGAGCAACAGCTGGCAAACTGTGGCAAACCATGTCAAGACGACGCTGCACACTGTAAGAGGACTGCGGCCGAATACAATCTACTTGTTCATGGTGAGAGCTATCAACTCTCACGGTCTTAGTGACCCTAGCCCCATGTCTGATCCTGTGCGCACACAAGGTAATTTTGGAAAATGCAGACTTTATTCATAGTGCTTAGAAAGATAAATTTAGTGTAGATTTGTGAATAAATTAGTTAAATATGGATCAAGGATAAATGAATATCTCATTATGACTTTTAATATTTGTTCAGTAGGTTTGACTCTGTGATTAAGAAACATCCTGTTCACTTTGGCAAGATATTTTGCCCTTCTCAGCCCTATAGATTTAGTTGCATAACATTCCATTTTACATTCTTTGGCCAGGATTTTATAGAAAAAGTAAAGCCAAAGATGAAGATTTCAGGACACTTAAAGATAGAGGGTAGAGGAGGTGTTTATTACATGCTATCTACCCCTGGTTTGTACATGATTATAATAAAGGAAATTTTTCTCACCTAAGTTATTTGGATAATGAATGGAAAAGCACTTATAAACACCTTATTACATGCCAACCTTAAAATGTCATGTGCTGAGGATACAAACACAATAGTGGGGAAAGTCCCTCTCCGCCAAGGTCATATATTCTAATGATGGAGACTATATATACAAGGGAATGACAGCCAAAGAGAGATATTTTTGTCTGGAAAGTTACAAGGATGGTGAGGGAAGCCATAGAGTAGTAAAATTATATACCCTTTCCACTAGCAAGTGTGTGTGTGTGTGTGTGTGAGTCAATTATGAGAAGATGAGCTGGGAGTAAGATGAACCATTTGGTCCAAAAAATGAAGCTTTTTCTTCCTCAGCAGACTGAATCTTAATGTAAAAGGTTAAGATAGTATGTTCCTTCCATCTCAGCTGGGGGTTTTGCCCTTGCTGAGAAGCTTGTGGTCCAAGTGTTGAAACCTTCCCCCCTTAATTTTATGCCACATTTTTATGTTTTTACTGAATTAGTCCCCTCTAGCCACAAAAGGGAATACAATTATGTAATATAAAAATGAGCTTATCACTTTTTATTACATACGTCTAAAAGAGCTGTTAAGAAGAGGTTAATTACTTTTTATTTGTCAAAGTGTTTTTTTACATAATATAATGCAAAATGGTATTTTTATGCTCTGAAAAGCACCACACAGGCATAAAATATTATTATAATTATAGTGTGTTTCAATGATAGTAACTAGCACACTATTATAATAGGGAATGGTTCCTTAAAGTATTCAAGTGAAATAAAATCATCATGTGACTTTTTAAAGTTACTGACATGACAGTCAAAGAAGGAGGGAAAAGCCATTTTACTATTGTTCACTCAACAGTCATGTGATTAATTTTCTATGATTAAGAGCCTGTCTAGGTAGAAGGAAAAAGCACAATGAGGAACATGAAGATGTGAATAATGGTAATATTTCATTTTTACCAGGATACAAATCTAATTCCATGTCTCTGTATTTAAGGAGTAAATTAAATCATTGAACCTGAAATGTAAGATAAGAAATTAAAATTGTAACTTCAACAATTACAGTGCATTAAGGTATTTCATTTGCCCGAGTAAAAAAAAAATGGCAATTTTGTAGATCATATAATATAGATCACATCAATGTGAATCATAGAAGATTGGAAGTTTTGTATTGTGTGATTAAATACAATAGATTCAGAAGCATTTGTCAGGTCCTGCATCAACTATGCTATTTACCAAAGCCTGTTAAACCAGAATAACTTTTCAGTGAAAAAAAGTCAAAACAGAGCCACCAAAATAGTTTTTGATCTTTGTGTTTTAGTGCAGGGAAGATACAAAATAAATATGCTCTTAACATATCTGTGAGAGGAAAACCCATGATTTTTGTCTGAATTCCAGGATTACTTTTGAGTTAAAGTTGTGTAGCCAATAGCCCATGTAGGCCAATTCAGTCACTGCTACAATTGACATGATATGATTAGAGCATAAAAAACCTTTTTTTAAAAAATAAATGACCTTTTTCAGTTAGTTCAGTTTTCAAAAGTTATCCATGACAACATCTGAACATCTCTTATATTTCTTTCAATGAAGAGCAAATACCTAGACTTCAGCTAAAGTCAGCATTAGAGTATAGGATGATACACACAGCTAAAAATTTATATTAATCAACTAAAAGAAAAGCTTACAGTATCAAATAAATTTAGAAAGCTTTATTGTTCATACAAGCATAGCAAAATTAAAATCAGAAAAAACTGCTACACTATCTCCGTAGTTAAATGCAAATCTATTTTAATGAAGTAACAAGATTCTAATTTTACAGTATCATGAAGTATGTAATATGTAATATAAAAACAATAATGCTATGCAAGCAAATAATCTTATTTGCTTAAATAAATGCATTGTATTTCACAAAGTATAACCAGAAATTGGTATAATAATAAATAAATAATAAAATTAGTATAATAAAGTATAGTATAATAAAATTAGTATAATAATAAAATATAATCAAAGCATATCAGAAGGGAATTTCAACCTCAACTTCTATTGTATAATTGTTGTAAATTTACATTTTTAAAATCAATAACTGGGAATTTATTTTGTATGTACTTTTATTTTATACAATGTGCTTTATTTTGTAGGAATAGCCTTTTTTTTCTAACATGGAATTGCAAACATGCATATATTGATAGAGTTATAGGGCAGTAAAAAGTAGTATAAGTGGGTAGTGAATATCTGTCTACTATATTGCCTTATCATACCAAGGAGATCAATATTCAAACTATCTCCATCTTTTTTCTTTCCAGATAACTTTTCATTAAATCACTACTTCTGTTTAGGACAAAAAGGGAGGAAGATATTTCCACCAAAATTCTACTCCAGCCAATCACCCCTTCCTCACTTCTAACATACATACACATACGCACACACATATACATATACGTACACACATATAAACATACATATGTACATACATATACACATACATGCAAGTACACACACACATATATATACCTATAAACTCAGGTCAGCCATATTTCCCCTTCATGTTTGTTTGTTTGTATTTTATCACTATTTTGAATTTCTGGGCAAAACATGGTTAGAAAAGTAAAGAAAGCCAGTGGTATCACAACACACTAGCTATGAGTGTGCTAGGTAAACATGTAGTTGCCTGAAGAATTAATTTACTTTTCCAAAGTGCTGCATTTATTAGTAGGGAACAGCTTGCCCATGAAGTTCCTAGATTTGAGTAGAAATGACTTCTTGATAAGCAAAATTTCTCTACTATCATGAGATAAATATTGTAACAAAATATTTTAGTTGATATCTTGTTTATCAGTAAGAAAATAATATCTGTATGAATAGGCCCTGCTTAGAACATGTTTTTCCACTGTGGAAACTTAACCTTCTCGTGAAGGTGAGGATGACTTCTTTTTCAGCATAACATTATGTGAAGAGATACTTAAATATTATTTGATGATTTATTTTATAAGGCCAGGTTATGCCATATCCTTGTGCTAAAATAATGCTATAAATCTGATTATATAAGTTACTATAAAACAAAAATAAATACTATAAAACAAAAATAAATGATTGTGTACCAACAGATATAAGCCCACCAGCACAAGGAGTAGACCACAGACAAGTGCAGAAAGAACTGGGGGATGTCATCGTACGTCTTCATAACCCTGTTGTGTTGACTCCTACCACAGTTCAAGTTACATGGACAGTAAGTGATTTGTAATACATAAGTAATTCTTCTTTATTGTATTCCTTGTCTTAATTTAATTGAGACACTAAAGACAAGTTATTTAATATACAAATGAAAAACCATACAAATTGAATGAAATATTAGTTTTGATGGAAAAATGTTATTTTGAATCCAATATATATATTGTGTCCAACATGTTTAGGTTTTTTGAAATTATATAGTAAATGTGATAAGAAAATGCCCATCTTTATGTGAACTCAAAGCAAAATGTATCAGTAATTTTTTAAAGTAGAAAAAATGCTTTTCTGAGCTAGTACTTATAACAGCAACACAATAACAAAAAAGATCTAGCAAAATAACAGGAGAATATGCAATGGTTTCTGACAAAGCTAATGCCAACCAAGAATTGGTTTCCAAGTTCTGTTCCTGCTTTGTTGTTATTCATTCGCTTCAGCTGTGTACTGCTCTTCATGACCACTTTTGGGGTTTTCTTGGTGAAGATACTTTGCCAAAGATACTTCTTTGCCCAGCTCATTTTACAGATGAGGAAACTGGGGCAAACAGGGATGAATGACTTGCCCAGGGTTACACAGCTAGTAAGTGTCTCAGGCCAGATGTGAATTTGTGTCTTCCCTACTCCTTGACCAGCATTTTATCCACTGTGCCACCTAGCTGTCCCAATGTGCTATGTCCAAAATGTTTTTGAGTGCTGATTTTATAAGATGCTGTTTGATTTAAACACCAGCAAAACTGATGTGCTTTCCCAGCCTTATATTCTTTTTTGAACTCCTGAAAAAAGAGGAAACATTAATAATTGCTTAAGCAAGTGTCTACTTCCTGATAACTACACTATTTTTAGGAGAATAATCTACACATGCTTTATCAAGATTTTTCTTGTTAAAGGTATGAAGAAGCAGGTTGGTACAACCTGTTATTTGGCTGATTCTTTCTCCATAGTTTCATAATTGGCTGAAATTCCCACTCTGCAGATTGATTGTTGATTATTTCAAGAACAACACTTAATTAATGCAAAATCCTGCCTTAAAGACTTTTTTTCCTTCCTTCCTTCCTTCCTTCCTTCCTTCCTTCCTTCCTTCCTTCCTTCCTTCCTTCCTTCCATCCTTTCTTTCCTTCCTTCTTTCTTTCTTTCTTTCTTTCTTTCTTTCTTTCTTTCTTTCTTTTTCTTTCTTTCTTTCTTTCTTTCTTTCTTTCTTTCTTTCTTTCTCTCTTACATGTGTTTTTAAAACTTTGGGTTACAAATTTTATCCCTTCCTCCCTCCCCACCCACCCTCATTGAAAAAGCAAGCATCTCGATACAGGTTATAGACTTGTAGTCACGCAAAACACTTCCGTAGTAGTCCTGTTGTGAAAAACTAAGTATATTTCCCTTCATCCTATCCTACCCCCCATTTATTCTACTCTCTCTTTTGACCCTGTCCCTCCTCATAAGTGTTTGCTTCTGATTACCCCCTCCCCCAATCTGCCCTTCCCTCTATCAACTCTCTGCTGTCTTGTCCCCTTCCCCCCTTATTTTCCTTTAGGGTCAGATAGATTTCCATATCCCATTGTGCATGTTATTCCTTCCTTAAGCCAAATCCTATGAGAATAAGATTCATTCATTCCCTCTCACCTTCCACCATTTCCCCTCTACTGTAAAAGCCTTTTCTTGTCTGTTTCATGTGAGATAATTTACTTCCCTTTTTCCTTCTCTCAATATAATCCTCTGTCACCCCTTAATTGTGTTTTACAGATATCACCGCTTCATCTTCAACTTACCCTGTGCCCTCTATCTATCTATACATACATATAATTTTTTCCCTCCCACTACCCTAATACTGACAAAGGACTCATGAGTTACAAATATCATCTTTCCATGCAGGAATGTACACAGTTCAACCTTAATAAGTCTCTTATGATTTCTCTTTCCTGTTTACCTCTTCCATGTTTCATTTGAGTCTTGTATTTGAAAGTCACATTTTATAATCAGCTCTGGTCTTTTCCTCAGGAATGCTTGAAAGTCCCCTATTTCATTGAATGGCCGTTTTTTACCCTGAAGGATTATACTCAGTTTTTCTGGGTAGGTGATTCTTGGTTGTAGTCCTATCTCCTTTGCCCTCTGGAATATCATACTCCATGCCCTGCGGTCCCTTAATGTAGAAGCTGCTAAATCTTGTGTTATTCTGATTGTGTTTCCACAATGCTTGAATTGTTTCTTTCTGGCTGCTTGTAATATTTTCTCCTTGACCTGGGAACTCTGGAATTTGGCTACAATATTCCTAGGAGTTTTCCTTGGGGGATCTCTTTCATTTCTATTTTGCCCTCTGGTTCTAAAATATCAGGGCAATTTTCCTTGATAATTCTTGAAAGATGATGTCTAGGCTATTATTTTTTTGATCATGGCTTTCAGATAGTCCAATAATTTTTAAGTTCTCTCTCCTGGATCTATTTTCCAGATCAGTTGTTTTTCCAATGAGATATTTCACATTCTCATCTATTTTTTCATTATTTTGGATTATTGTTACAGTGCCTTGATTTCTCAAATCATCACTAGATTCCAATTTCTCCATTCTAATTTTTATGGAAATATTTTCTTCAGTAATCTTTTGGACTTCCTGTTCCTTTTGGCCAGTTTTGCTTTTCAGGGCATTCTCCTCATTGGCTTTTTGGACCTCTTTTGCCATTTGGGTTAGGCTATTTTTAAGGTGTTATTTTCTTCAGTATTTTTAGGGTCTCCTTTAGCATCACTCTCAGTTTTTCCTCTACTCCTCTTACTTCTCAGAATCTTTTTTTGAGCTTTTCCATGGCCTGGGACTGATTCATATTTTTCTTGGAGGCTTTGATGTTGGCACTTTGGCTTTGTTGTCTTCTTCTGGTTGTATGTTTTGATCTTCTTTGTCACCAAAGTAAGATAGTATAGTCTGACTCTTTTTGTACTGCTTGCTCATGATCATGGCCAATTACTTGAGTTATAAACTCCTTGTTAAGGTAGGAGTTGCAGTGTGGAGAATGTACTGTCCCAAGCTTCAGGGGTTTTGTGCAGCTGTTTTCAGAGATACTTCTAGGGTCCTGTAAAGTTTCAGGTCTTCCAAGGTGCTATGATCAAGGGCAAGGTGTTTACTCCTTTCCTGGCCTGTGCTCCAGTCTGTGAGTGAGCACAAGCACTTTTTTCTGTCTTGGAACTGTGAGGATTTTCTCTTCACAGCCACTACAAGCTCCACCACACCAGCGCTCCTCCTTGCCCCAGGATTGCCACCCTGAACTGTGACCCAGATCTAAGCATGGGCAAAGCAAGAGAATCCTGCACCAGCAGAGAGATCCCTGCAATCTTCCTCTGATCAGCCACCCAATCTCCCCTCTATCTGTGGCCCGGAAGCTCAGGAGACAGCTGCTGCCCTGGGGCTGAGCTCTGGGAATGGGGCTGGAACCCCACCATGCTTCTCTCTCACCACCACAGAAGCATACTTTTCCCACTGACCTTCTAAGTTGTCTTTGGCGTTCGTGGGTTGAGAAGTCTGGAAACTGCGACAGCTGCATGTGATTCAGTCCTCTGAAGCTTCCTCTAGGTTTGCTGGGGCCTGCGTGCCCATGCCAAACTGTGTTCCTCTCCCAGCCTGGCACTATATACCTTTCCATTCAACCATCCACGATGTTTTTGGCTGGAAATTTGTTTCACTCTCTTTTTGTGGGTTCTACTGCTTTAGAATTTGTTCAGAGCCATTTTTTATAGGTATTTGGAGGGGTCTGAGGGAGAGCTCAAGCAAGTCACTGCTTTTACTCTGCCATCTTGGCTCCACCACCCTTTAAAGACTTTCTTCCAACATGATGTATATTGGATTCATGTCTCTCATGAACCTCAGAGTCATGCAAGATTACTTGAAATTAGAATAACGGACATAACTTTGTTCAGTGGCCATCTGATTTATTAGTGAAATAAAAAACAAGGAGATATGTTTTCCAAAGGTGTTTGACAGTGACCTAGAGAATATGAAATTCAGCTTCTGATTTCTATGACAGAATGTTGACTTCATCAACCTCAGAACCTCCTTAATGAGATTTATATTCATTCAAAACATTTGTCAATAACAGCGGGGGGAAAAGTGAATGAAGAATGCCTATTGTCTAAAGTATGATATACCATAGTATGGCAAGTCACAGAGGTGGTCTGTCAGCATGTAAATCTTTGGCAGATGCTACACATTGACAATGAACTGGCTCAGAATTGAATAGAAAAAAAGAAAGCAGGCTGGATTGCAAATGGAAAATTGTTCAGTCCAATGACCACAGACTTCTTCCTGAAGCCAAGGCCTTTTCTTTTAACAACATTTTTCCAGTAGAGCTAATATGGCTAAAAAGCATGGAGCATCACAATTTCTGAAAAATTAAAGGTACAAGTATAAAAAGAGGAATGGAGAAATGCAGAGTGCCTGGAAGTGGCTTAGTGGAGAGAGGAAGTCAGAAAGATCCATCTTTCAGTGTTCAAATTTGACCTCAAGCACTTATTAGCTGTGTGACCCTGGGCAAGTCTCTCGATCCTGTTTGCCTCAGTTCCTCATCTGTAAAATAAGCTGGAGAAGGAAATAGAAAAGAACTCCAGTATCTTTGCCAAGGAAATCTCAGATGGGATCAGGAAGAGTTGGACAGAACTAAACAAAAACAAGAGTGCCTGGAAGTTGACTGTAGACTGTTAACAACAAATAACTGTATTTTAAAAAAAGTCAATTAAAAATTTTATTAGAGAAATTTATGACTTTACACTTTGGTCTGGTCTTCCATGCTTTCCATAGGAGTAGGAAGAAAAAATTTCTATTGGTTGAGACGGTATAGATGGAATGTGACTTACAGATACATCTGGAAACTGATTTTCAATAAATATCTCTTCTGCTTAAATTATGATTGAATTGATGTGTAACAGCAATTCCACCATATGTAATTGGTTTACAAAAGATCAAGTTGCTCATAAAGCTAATGTTCACAAATATATCATTTCAAAATATAACACATTAAAATCTAAAGGTTAT